CCAGTGGGCAACCCACATCAAATTGATGAAAGCCGGAACCAGGCAGGACCTTCAACAGTGTGGCCGAGCACGCCAAGACCAGGAGCTCAGAAAGGTGCTTTGAGAGGAAGTGAGGAGGAACCTGAAGGAAAGAGATTCAAAGTGACCTTTGAGAAGAATATCCATGGTTTGGAGGCAGTTGCACCCGAAGCTAAGAGGCTGAAACAAGAGGAGAGGGTGCAAGAAGAGAGGAGAGTTGAGGCCACAGAAGTTGAAGGAAGGCTTTACTACCACATGGACAAGGTCATCGACGAAGACTTTCTGGAATGGGAGGATGAATGGGCTTTAGAAGAAGAAGAGTCCTTTCAGGACATTCCAGATGAGCTCTGGTCTGACGCTCCATTGGATAGAGTTCCACCTGATCCACCCAAGTGGGTCGATGATCTGGCAAATGAAGTTGAGGAAAGAAGGCTACAGAAGTTGGGAGTCTTAATTCCAATGGATGGGTTGAAGAGTGGCTACAAGAAGCTGACCACCAGGTTCGTTCATGACTGGAGGGCGAAACCTAGATCCAAGTTGCCAGGAGCGCCAAAGCAGTTCTTGAGGAGGTCAAGGATGGTGGCACGAGAATATGCTACCGACCGAAGAGATGATGTTCACAGCCCAGCCAGTGGAAGCCAAGCCTTGAGATTGATACCAACTCTGTACCTGATGAGGAAGAAGGAGATGGAGGATGGTGGCTCACCGGTTCAGCTCGGTGCACTGGATGTAAAGGATGCTTTCCTTCAGGTACCACAAGATGAACCGACCCAGGTGACAACAGCCACAGGACATTTTGAGGTCCGTCGAAACCTTCCAGGACAGAGGATTGGGGCAAAAGCTTGGTTCGATTATTTCACTGGTTGGCTATGCGAGAAGGGATTTGAGTTTTCGAAAACGAATCCATGCTTGGGAAAACTCTCCAACAAGATGACAGTGTTGATCCATATGGACGACGTCCTATATCTTGGAGAGGAGGAGTACGTTGTGAACGACTTCTTGCCAAGCATCAAAGCCAGGTTTGAAATCTCAGAACAGCATCTAACAGGTCCTGGCAGCTCCTTTCAGTTTTTGAGGAGAACATATGAGGAGACAGAGACTGGACTGAAGGTTCACCCTGGCAAATATGCCGAAAGCATGGTGGAAATGTATGAGGAGACGATGGGACGTGCAAAGGTCCAATCCCTACCGTGCAGCCAGGAGATGCTTGAGGCTGATGGCACTACACAGCTGAGACCAGATCTCGCAAGTCTCTATAGATCTTTGGTTGGATGTGGAATATACCTTTCACAAGAACGGCCAGATGTGTCCTATGTGATCAAGGAGCTCGCCGGGTCAATGTCATGCCCAACAACCGGAAGCTTGAGGAAGCTTGGAAAGTTGGTTGGGTATTTAAAGAATACAATGGGTCAGTACACGATGCTGGAGATTGAGGAGTCAGGAACGGGACTCTCCACGAAGACGACGAAGGGGAGATGGTTGCTGGAGACATTCTCGGACAGCGACTGGTCAGGTTCCAAGAGCCACAGGCGTTCCACATCTGCAGCCATCCACGTGGCCAATGGAGTGGTGGTATTCACAAGCTCAAGAGGACAGAAGAGTGTGACGTTTCTGCAGAGGCTGAGCTTAATGCATTGGTCTCGGCAGCGGCAGATGGAATCTACCTGAGAAAGTGCCTCGAGTTCATTGCGGAGGAGAAGGTGATCCACCATTGTCTAGTTGACAATTCAGCAGCGCTTCACCTATGCCATAGGAAGGGCCCCGGGAAACTTCGGCATATCTCGGGAAAACTGCTGTGGATACAGCATTTGGTGGCACAAGAAGAGCTACAGGTACGAGCAGTGGGAACAGTGTACAACATTGCAGACCTGGGTACGAAACCACTTACCAAGAACCGCATCAGCTTGATCCTCTATTGGTGCAATGCCCGAAGACATGATGGAGAAAGATTAGGCCAGGAGGAGCATGGCCGTTTGCAGGAGATGAGTGTAAACCAAGTCAAGATTAGCAAGTTGGCAAAGTTGCTCAATCGAATCCTGCTACTTGGGGGCCTTGAGCAGGTGGCCGGAGTGAGGGACAACACCATGGAGATTGAGCCCGAGGAGAATGGTGATTGGTGGTGGTGGTGGTGGTTCTTCATCATCATGATTGTGGCGGTAATGGTCTTCAGTGTGATGATCATGATGGTGATGATGTGGAGGCGCATCAAAGCGCTTGAGACTGTAATCCAGCAGATGAAGGATGACAGTCATGTGGATGTTATGACCCAGGGGGCAAGGACCTATGAGGTTGAAGAGAAAGTGAAAGAGGTCAACAAGGAGGTGAAGGAGTTGAAGACCTATGCACAGCAAATCCACAGAGGCTTGGTGAAAGCTTCAGGATATGTTGATGCAACAGAGTTCCACGAAGGAGATTGGAAGCACTGGAACTACCTACAGCATCTTCGGACGATGGATGCCCAAGTTAAGGAGTACCTGAAGGCAAAGCAAGAACGAGATGAAGAGTTGGATGAACAGCAAATCCCGCTGGGAAACCCCAGTCCCCAACGTGAAAAAAAAGAGAATGAGGATGATGACATCATTGAAGGCGAGGAGACAGTCCAGGTACGACTGGATTCAGGAGAAGTGGTTGAGATACCATTGAGGTTCATCGAGCCTCGTGAGCCCGAGAGTGAGGGAGATGTTGAGATGACAGCCGCACCAGAAGAAGCACCACAAGAGGCGACACCAGAAGAAGCAGTACTGAGCGAGGGAACGCAGATGCCTGAGAGTCGTGATGACCCAACCATCAGCCAAGCTACCAAGGGTTGGATCTCAGGCTTAGAGTTTCGCAGGTTGACAACTTTTGACAAGCCCGCAGCACGCTCCTGCTTAAGGCAAAACAACATTTGATGAAATGTGAACAGGCATGGTGGGACGCAAGCCAGAATGACGATCATGAAAAGAAATACGAAGTTTATGGAGAGATGGATAAGCATTACGAATTTCTGGACTGCGAGGACCTACCATTTTAGAGCTGAAAGTTGAGCAATGAGCACAAAGCCTTAGCTCAAAGCTCAAAGGAGGAGTGCGAAATAGCATTCACTTGTGACCGCAGGCCCTTAGTGCTGAGAAACTGTGCACTCCCGCATTACTGTAAAGTTTTCTGCACCCACCCTTCTCCAAAGTATATGGCCAATTCTGCCAGAGGAGCACCTCTCGACTGCCAACAATTGTGCAACAGAATGCCGTCAGAAGACATCACGACGTTCTTGTGATCAACATGCTGTTTTTTGTTTTTTCTGTGGACATCCTGTACCTACATTCTGTGCAGGCATATCCTGAGCTGCCCTGCATATTCTGAAGCTCAGCTTGTCCCAAATTGACAAAAAAGAGCACCTGCAAACTAACATTGCAGGCAGGACAGAGTCTGCGGCAACCTTTGAGTGTTCAATAACACATATGTCACATGAGTCACATGAGATGCCGCCCTTTCTCACTTTGGCTCAAGACAATTGAGGCAGGCTGGGCTGGCACACGACTAGCCACTTCTAAAGCCATCATACCAGATTCAGGCACCGGATCAATTTCAAAGGGTTGGCACCTTTTGAAGCAAGTCTGATCGATGTCAGGAAGTGGCCACGCCCTTATGCTTCTCGGTGTAGTTGGAGCTGTATGCGTAGCCGTTGCTGCCCTGGGGCGAAAAGTCAAGAAGGAACGAGAAATGGCAACTTGGCAGACTTGAAGTGAGCTCTATGCGAATCAACCAAGTTTGGACGGGTCCATAGCTGAGGTGACTGTCCAGGCGGAAAGAGCTGCAGAGAGGGAACGAAGACGACAGGAAGAGATGGGAGCAGGAGCCAAAGGCTCTGGAAGATCTGGACGACGTGGTGGGCGGAGATAGCTCACGTTGAATGAGGACATCGCGGTGAATTTCGTAGCGTGCTCAAAGAAAATGCGTTCCCCGCCCTCGAGCCTGTCCTTCGTTAGACTTGCTTGTCGAAACACACGGGGTTGACTGAAAAACGAATCGGAGATTTAGCAACTAGGTTTAGCTTCCACGTGTAGGTAGCCTTTTCCGCAGTCTGTTGGCTCCAAGAGGTAACTTGCGGAGACTTGAAGCTCAGTGTGTTGTTGAGTCTAGCACTCAGCCGAATTACCTGAACCTTCCTCCTGCTTCTGTTCAGCACGTCGGCCGAACCAATCAGCATAGAGGACTCGTGGCAGCAAAATAGACTTGGTTCTTTAGCTTCAGGATTTCAACATACCTGTTGCGCCTCAAGAGCACGGTTGAAATTATTTTCAATAGTGAGTGCAGTCAACTAAAGATTCCAACTTCAGTGCTGTGAACTGGGATGAGGACAGCGAGGATGAGGAGCTGGTCAGCAGCCCACAGCAGCGGAAATACCGGAAGATTGACAATGTTCAAAAGATACACCAAAAGGAGCCCCTATATAGTAGCGTCCTTGCTCCTAGTAGTAAGGCCAGGAGCCCCTAGTAGCATTCTTGTTCCTAGTAGTATAGCCAGGAGCCCTTAGTAGCATCCTTAAAGATACCAGAGATCCACCAAACCGAGGAGTTCCTTTAGCCTTACGATAGGTGTTGTGAAGGTTTGAGCACATTCACGCCGAACAACTTGGGATGAGTTGAGCTATGTATATAATTCCAATGATATTGCATTGGGAATTGCAGTGGTTGAAGTTCTTAGATCATACATGCTACATCCCGCCCATCGCTGTACTTGACCTTCCGCATCTTTTCTTGTAGCCCTCCAACTCCAATACTGCGTTGAGATTGTAGTGAGCGCCCAGGAGCAGCATTCCAGCTTGCATTCACGGAATCCAGGCTCAGTTAATATGATTGTTTGCTGCATTTGTGGTAAAATGTGTGACACAAGGCAACGGCAATGGATTTGGCGACTGATCAAAAATAACATGTTCGCCTAGGACTCGGCCAAAGAGTGCAGCGTGCTGGCCGCTTCAGAGGCTGCCAGAACACCCAGTCATGTTGCGGCAAACTGGATGTGAAAGAGCTGTGTCAGATGAGGAGCTGACAAAATTGGCACCGGCCCATGTTCTTCGCAGGGTGCTGCCCAGCCAGCTCGCCACAGACCTTCTGAAGGAATTGTTGCATGAGTCCAAGGAAATGTGGCGATCGAGCTCATGGGTAGTTCGTGGCAAAGAGCACATGACTCCGCGAACAACTGCCATGTACGACTTGTCGCTAGAAGCTGGGCAAGGGGAAGCAACGAAGGCGAGTACACAGCAGACGAACCCTGGTGCAGAGGAACTCCATCGCCCTCGAGCAAGCTGCATGCCTTCCGAATTGCTAAGGCAGGCAGCTCGTTGTATTCATGCTGCTGTGAAGCAGCACAGGCCCGAGTCAACATGGTCGCCAACCCTGGCGTTGGGCAATCGCTACGATGACGGGAGGGCCTGTGTCGGGTGGCACTCAGATTTTCTGAATTCTCTGGGGCCTCGTCCGATTATTGTTGGACTCTCGCTGGGAGCATGCCGGCGCTTCAGCTTGCGACGCACATCTGACCACTCTGCCGGGCCGACAGGTGCTGTGACTGACAGGCTCATGTGACGTGACCTTGTCATGTACCGAGGTTGTTGCAATCCCTATGCCACACAACACAGTTCGATTCTCACATTCTATTTTGATTCCTTTGAAGTAGCTGTCGATGCATGATTGATGCCAGCATATTACTGTAGGTTAGGAGATGCTAGGAGTGCATTGATGCTAAGGTGGTGATCATGTGGGATGACTGTCAAGAGGAATGGGAACACTCAGTACCCCGACAAGCAGATTCGAGCATTGGCAAACATCCAGTGGCAGGAGAGCCTTGCCCTGTGTTTCTGTCATGCATAAAAGTGTAGACGTCATTCATACACAGGAAAGAAACGCCCGAGAGCCCAATCTACGATATAGCAGGTTTGGTGCGCATATCCTTGACATTCCGAATGGCCAGACCAGAGCTTGCTGAAAAGCAGAAACTCTGCAGCTGTGGCACCTTGAAGTCTCAGGAGTTGCTTCTTTCCTTGTACAATCGTGGCAAAGAAGTGCCTAGTTGATGAATGAAATCTAAGGCAGACCGAGCGTTTTGAAAAGCAAAGGAGGTGTGCCTGCATGAGCAGTTACGCTTGGGTTCCTGTGTGCACAGAATTCTCAAAAAGACTATGCAAGTTGAGACTTTGGATGCTTCTGGCATCCTGCAAGGTCGTTACTATTTGGCTTGCTCTCCCATGGGGACCCCTTGCTGCACTTACCAAGCCACAACAATGCCCTGGCAGTTCATGCCGTTTGGTGACTTCATATTCCGTCTAGCACGTGGATTGCGAATGAGGGTTGGCAGTCCTTGCTAGGTTGAACTTGCACGTGCATTTCCTGGCTGGAAGTCGTGCGACATGTGGGTCAAAAATTGTCTTAATCAGTTTTTGCCCTTGCATCCTGCCTAGGACATCATCACAGCTCCTTGCCATTGTGGGAGGATTGGGGTAGGATGGGTGCTTTAATTGAAGTGCCAAGGTGTGGCTTCTGGGAGCATTGCCCATGGGCGCAGGCTGAAGCAGAGCGTCTTCGGACGTTGCAGAGATGGGAGGCTTCACCAGAGGTCGCTCGGTCTGCTTCTTGTGCGATTGTTTGTCTCACGTGCGAAGGAAGAAGAGGACGGAAAGCAAGACATGGTAAGATTCGCTTGTAGGTGCATGAAGTAAAGCCAGCATATGTTGAAATCCTGGACTGCCACCTGGCTGCAGCGATGCTTTGGGGGACTATGACTAAGTCTGTCTGCTCCCGTGACAGATTTTCAGAAAGCTTATGCTGAGATGTTGAGCAGCTGAGGATTTGAAGAGAGCTTAGGGCGTTCAAGAGTCCATGATGGAGCTCTTTGTGCAAAGTTCAGCTTTCAAAGTCACTCTTTGAGAACCTCAGTTGCCAGAAGATACTAGGAGCCAAAATGGAGGAGAATGGAGACACAGTTGCATTGATCTCTTTGTTCATCCTGCTGCGTGCATGATGGCGAGCTTGAAAGAAAGATCTTCTTGGATGAATCCTGGATGAGACAGCATCGGCTTGAGCGACAAGATTGCCGGTCAGTTCAAAGCGAAAAGGAGAACGGAATAAGCATGGCTGGAACATATAGAGCTGGAACAGTGCCAGTAGTCCTTTAGAAGTGGTGAGTTGTTTTCACGAAGGCCGAGCAGGAAAGTAAAAATAGAGGTGGATTTGAAACACTAGCTTGCTGGCGCATGGGGCCGTTGCCCCTGTCCTCTCTCTCGCTACACTGGGGACTGAATCTGAGAGAAGCTCCTAAATACATTTCTTGCAGACACCTTCAGGCCAGTCAACGAGCACTGACGTAGTTTGGGTGCTTTGCTCTTGTGCAGGCCAGCGTGGCAAGCGTGGCAAACGCCAGCCGTGCGGAGTCGCAGAGCGAAGACCTCACTCTTCACACAACATTCTTTGCACCAGAAGATGTCACACAACATGCTGAGCCGTTTTTTTCTGGAAATGTAACTGCCTTTTCTAGAAACACAACACTTGTTTGGCATGCATTTGAAACATTGTCTGAGGCAAGCAAAGTGCAAAGACATTTGGTCAAATGGTTCACAGCCTATCAGAGCCATGAGGCAAGAAACAGAAGCAACAATGTAGTTTGAGGTGTTGGGTTGCTGTGTTGGTGCATGGCGGTGGCTGTCCTCTACAGCAAGCAGAGGGGCTGCCCGAGCCAAGGCCTGGGCCACATTGTCCCACATGTTTCATCATTGCCCACAACAGTTCCACAGGAGTTGCAGTTACAACATGTTACAACGCAGTTCTGTGAGGGCACATGACCCTAAACCCTAACCAAAGGAAAAGGGCCGCATGGCGGCACGGTCTTAGACAGCCAGGGCTTGTGGTTGCCCAGCTGTTGTGAGCGCTGTTTGCAAGCCATGAGTCATGCAGAAAGCATGGCAGCCATTTTTGGTGTGACGCCATGAGAAGATCATGCCGTGCAAATTTGCAATGATTTTCTGCCTTCATCATTTGCACCCTGCTGTTCATGTCTAATGTCTCATGAACTACTCTGGCCGGCTCGCTCTTGCTAAGAGAATTCTTGCTCCTCAATCCCGCCAGCACTACAGGTGTTGTGCTTTCCTTCACCACGTCCCCGCAGGGATTGAGAAAGCGAGAGAGAGAGAGAGAGATTGATCCTACATGTGCGAAAAGTGTGGGTGCCAATGCTGTCCCACAGCAGTGCTAGGCCTTTTTGCAGCCTTCTATGCAAAACCTGGTGGTCGTCATTGCAGGCAGTGTGCAAACCATGTCATTGTTCGCACCAACTGCAAACTGACAATGAAGCCATTGCAGCCACTGTCCATTCCTCGCAGGACCCACAGCAGTGGGAAAATCTGACGTTGCTGTTGAACTCGCCAAACTGCTGCAGAGTCGGGGGCGCAAGGCCTATTTGGTTCTGAAAACGGATGACTGAAAAAGATTTGGTAGATTTTGGTAGTACTTTCTGCATGACTAAATGTAAGCTCGTGCCGGTCTTTGTTGCCCAAAAGTGGCCAGTGACATATGTGATGTGGAGGTGCGCCTCATCAGCGCAGACTCAGTCCAAGTCTACAAAGGCAGTGACACTGCAGACTCGCTTGTTGGAACTAGAGATGAATCGATCTTCGTTTTGGAACTGGTCCAGGGCTGGACATTGGCTCCAACAAGCCTTCGCTCTTTGAGCAGGATGCACCTTCCCGTGATTTTGCATGTTGCTTGCACTGGAGAATCAGCGCATGCAGTGAAAAGCTGCGTAGGAACAGTGGCCCATCCGGCTCATCGAGCTTTGGCAGCTATGCTCTCTTTGGAAGTTTGTGCTTTGGGGTGCTGCCTTGAACCCTTGAACATGCACAAAACAAACTTTCTTTTTATTTTGTATAAATTATATAGATATGTGTATGTGGCAATGAAAGACAAAAAAGGATGAACAAAGGAAGGCAAGGCCCCCTTCCGACAGAACATTACTTCCTCTTCCTCAACAGCGACACTTAGGGGTCTTCAGCCATAGTCAAGACCTTGGAACAGGTCTTGGAAAAATACTACTCTGTCTTTTCCTGAAAGACTGTTCGAAACAGGTTCCGCGGCAAGTTCCGGAGCAGTTTCCGGAGTGGTTCCGGCGCAGGGTCCGAGCAAGTTCCGGCACGCTGACAAAATTCCTGTTTTCACGCTGATGTATGCTGGTGTGATGTCGCGCCGGCATGTTGCCAGGCTCTCATGCTGAGTTATGTTGGTGCGGGTCGCGGCAACATGCTGACATGTTGTCACCGGGAGATGATGAAATCGGGTCACGCTTGCGTGCTGACTTGCAGGCAGGCTCCACAGCGGCGTCGGGAGCAGGTTTTTTGGTTGTTTGTTGTAGTGGGAGGATTGTCACGGCTGCGCATATGTGGGCACATGTGTTGCCGTGAAAAGGTTCACCCTTTTGAACGCAGCCTGTTCTAGCAAAGGCGCGGGTCCTTTTCTTGGGTTACTGTGTATATATATATAATTAATTTTTAATGTTCTTGTCTTGTGCCAAGCAAGCACTTGCATGACACTTTTGGTTGCAGTCTTTGGAATTGGGTGCGTGCCAAGGACTGGGTGGATCCCAACAGGTGGGCGCAACTGCGAAGTTATGAGCAACTTCGTTTCCATTCTGTTACTTTTGGTCTAACATGCGGAGCCACCATGAGCCACCTAAGTACAGACGGCATACGAAGATGTGATACAATCCGAAGATCTCCAGGCCCTGCACTGCTGGAGTTTGGACTGAAGCAGCCATTTGCCGTGTGCCCAGTTTCTCCTGACATTATTCCTGCTAACATTATTGGCAGGTGGTTATTCCATAGTTTCTTGCTGTACCTTCTTTTCAGCACTTTTGATTCTTTGGAATCAACCAGCGGCCAACAGGTTTTCTGTTCGGTCCAATCAGTTGAAAGTGGCATACCGGTATAGATAACGGAATAATTGATACAGACTCAAAGAAGTGCTTTGATGAACAAAAGTAGATAAAAAAGAGACAATGCCGTAATGCCGTGAGTTCCTAGTGCTTTCCGCAAGATCTACTTCCTACTCGTGTCGCTTTGGGACGGAGATCACCTGCTGCTACACGAATTTTCTCATGCTCTCTGAAACTACTATATAAATACCAAGGGCATGAAAAGACCTCCATGAGTATACCAATACAGCGGCCGACACCTCAAAACAATTCTGATTGGATGTATACTTCTGGTGTCCATGCACTTCCCCATGCTGCACCAATAATACACAGCAGTCGACAATATATCATCACACAGTGTCCTAAGAAGCACTCGATGGGAACTTGGAAGGCAACCATGATGCAAGAAATGCTAAGACATCGTCAACATTTCTTGCATCAACAACATATAGAACCTTAAACTAGGCGTTCCCATTCCTTTTTCACCATTTTACTGAAAATTAACACTTGCCGCTGGATGCCTTGCCCAAAAGCGCACCAACATTTGCTTGTGTGCGTAGGCGACACAAAAATATGCAAATGTGGCATGAAGTCGCCTCATTAACGTTGAAAGTTTCTGTGTCCAAAAAGAAGGCGCGGGCTTCACTAAGAACAGCTAAACAGGCTGGAAAAAGCACATGAAAAGTTCCAAAGCGGAAGTCGAAATACTATTGGAAAGCAGCTGCGTGATGTGTTGCCAACGAACCTTCTAAACTTGAAATGTGAAATTCTTGGCTCCACACTCCACAGTTGCTTGCTGAGGTCAGGTGGACGAAGCACTCTTGCATGATGAGACTCCAATTGTTGTTGGTCCACGGCCCAGTGTGGTCAGAAAGTAGCCATCTCAGAGTTTAAGGGTCTCAAGATTGCTGAAGGGGATTGGAGTCAGACTGACTTTGGTGCCTAGGTGGCTCGTGCAGCTCGTCCTGTTACAGCATTACCACTCCAACCAAGGTGTTTGAATACGTTTGCTGAGTCCATATGCCATAGGCATGTACTTGGATTGGCTTGTCCATGGGGAACCTGACGCAGCCCCATCTGTCCCAATCTTGGCTTCTGCTAGCAACAACAGCTGTGTGCAAACAACAGCTTTGTGCAAGGATCCAGAGGTACAAGCGAGAATAGCAGCAGAGCTTCAGCCGTTCCAGGACGGTGTCACCACCATATGCCGGTTCTAGAGGCTGTAGTGTTGCTTGATGTTGCTTGAGCTTCAAGGACTCAATGGACTGGGACGGTGCCATTGCGCTTTTGGCAGCCTTCGATGAGGAGAAGGCCTTCAACAAAGTCCCCCTGGCATGCATCATGGCGGTTCGTCCTATGGAAGTTAGGCTGGGAGAATCACACGCAACAACTGGTCCTCTCCTCAACCTT